CGGTGCCCCCCGCGCCCGGGGCTGGCGCTGGCATCGGATGCTGCTGCCGTCCCGAGGACCGTGCCCTCATCTCCACTGCCACCCCCGCCCCCAGACTCAGGGCTGCGTCTCACCCCTCTGCCCCCGCTCCAGCTATCCTCAGGGGTCCCAGTAAAACACACCCCCATGGGATATGGGGCAGGGCCTGCCTGCAGTGCAGGCTCTGGATGTGGGTGAATCCCAGGTAGGGGCTGAGCTGCAGGCAAGTCCAGCTCAGCCCTCGCCCCAGCCAGACAGAGAGTGGTCTCTGGGACCCCCAGGGTTCAAAGCTCTGGCCCTGCCTCTGCCACTGACTTCCAGTGGGGCCTTCCCTCTGTTTCTTAATCTCTCCGTGCCTTGGTTTCCCCACTTGGAACCAGCAATTTACCCTGCTTTGCGAGCATCACCCAGTGGTGCTGCCTGTCTGCCGTGCCCCCTTAGCCTTGAAACGGCGGCAGTCTCTAGGGCTCCCAATCAACTGGAGGTTCCCGGCGTGCCCTGCACAACATATAATAACCTCCTGCCCCAAAGAGCCAGCCATGGAAAACAGCCAGTCAGCTATTGTAGTCCCAGCATCCCCTCTGGATGCCATTGCATCCATTTCATGGAGCAGGTAGACTGAGGCAAAGTGCAGTGCCCAGTGCCAGAGAGAAAAGTCAGTGGCAGAGGTGATCCTAGAGGCCTGTAGCATGAGCATTTGTGTGTCATGAGGCAGAATGACCCACCTGGGGATTTGTGCTCTGAACCCACCCTGGAAGAGCTGAGTTCGAGGGTCCCAACAGAGCCTCGCGATGGATTATTGTTGCTGGGAGCAATCAGTCTGTCCCTTTGCCAGTGAACAACCCCCACGGTGGGGGCTGATTAGCAAGCTCAGGTATCACCCTCGCCCACCCAGGGAGCACCTTGCAGCAGGGGCATGACAGGGCATGAAGCCCTGAGGACCTGGCTAGCTAAGCAGCGCCTACCTCAGCCCCCCAGTGCCAGCCCCGCTGCCCAAAGGGCAAGCGATGTCAGGGCTGGGATGGATGAAAGCAGGGTCCGGGGCTGAAACAAGGGCAGGGCAGGGCTGGGACAAGACACTGAATGAGCCCAGATGGGGTGAGTGGGCCTGGCCTCTGCTTCCCCTCTGACCCCGGGCAAATTGCTTAGGGTGGCATTTTGCAGCCCCGTGGACTTGGTTTTGGAAGCCGATGGGGGTTTTGCTCCGAGGAGGTTGGGCGAGGGGGTTCTCTAACTCGGTTTTCCCTTGGACGACGGAGGGGATGGGGCCACGAGTCACAAGGCAGCGATTCCCCCAGGGAAGGGCTCTGCAGCTAGGCAGAGCATCGCTATTCTTAAGCCCTCTTTTCGGGGCCGTCTCCTAGGAGAAGGCCGGGGATCAATGCCAGCCAAGCAAAATGGGCTGCGAAGGCAGCCGCAGGCTCCAGGGGAGATGGATGTGATTAGCCATCTGGAATCGGGGACACCGGGAAAGCACTGAAGTGCTGTGCTTCCCCGGCTCGGCTCCGGGTGACCCACTTAGAGCGGCTGGCGCGGATACGCCCCATGTAGTCGCAGCCCAGGGCTCGCATCGGCGGAGAGCCCCGGGCAGCTGGTAGGGAGATCTCGCTCACGGGAGGCAGAGGGGAGCAGGGGCTTTCCCGGAGACGATCAGTAAGGGGCTGCAGAAGAGCTGCCCAGGCACCGGTCGAGTTGCAGCATCAGATCTTGGCCTTTGAAGCAGCCCCCTTCCAGCTGCAGGCGAAGAGCTGGCGCTGAGAAGGGGGTCAGGGAGCATGTTTTGATGCAGAGCGGGGTGTTGGCCAGCTGCAGTGTGCGTGGCTGGGTCAGTGAATGTACCACGGTATCCCTGTGTGCATGTGCATGCACGCACGCAGATGTTTGTGGGTGTGGGTATGGGTGTGAGTGTGGGTGTGTGCATGCACATGCATACACGAAGGGCCTTGCTTCCAGGTGCTGGTTTCTAAGTGAGCCTGCCTGCACGTGTGCACGCGTGTCTGAATTAGCGTGTTTTGTACACGTGTTGGCATGCTTCATCCCCCCCCCCATGTATCCGGTGTGGCAGGGTCCATCGTGGGTGCATCGTGTCTGTGGTTGGTGCAACGGGGTGTATGTAACCCCATGTGCCCATGGCTGTCCTGTGCCCCCGGGTGCCAGCGTCCTTTGCATTCCTGGGGGCAAGCGGGCCAAGCCAAAGTGAAAGGTGCCAAGGCTGCGGGGACCGTGTGAGAGCTGTGATCCTTACACGGGATCTGCTGGAAGACCTCCAGCCTGGGTGGGACTCTCCTGCCCTGGGTTGGCCCCCTCTGTGCCCTGCGGCATCCCCCGAGAAGGCTGGACCCACGTGCTAACCACCTGGCCTGTTTGTTTCTCCAGACCCCAAGGATCCTTCCTGCTGCGCTTGATTCCTGGACCGTGAGAGACACCCCGCCAGCACCATGACTCTGGCTGGTACGACTGGCCCATCACCCCATCCCAAGCTCCCTGCCCACCTGGTCCATCTCCCCCCACAGCATCTCCCACCCTTTGTCCCCATACCACAGCAAAAGCAACCCTGTGAAAGAGATGGGGAAAGGAAACGAGTGGATCTCATAAGGCAGCCGACACTTGCACTGCCACTGGGGGGAAACTGAGGCACGGAGTGGAAAAAAGTGGCCAGTGCCCTGGGAAGAACCAGGTCTCCCATGATCCTTTGCATTCAGAGCGGTGTCAAGAGAGGTCTTGGGCACTGTGATGCGGTCACAGCCTTGCCCCGATCTCTGCGGGCAGCCCTAGGGATGGGCATCACCCTGCAGAGCGTGCAGTGACCCCAGCAGGAGACAGCGCGGGGGCACCGGTGTCCCCAGGTTTGAGTCTTCCTTCTGCCACTGCATCACGCCATGGTCTGTAGCAAGGCACCTCATCTTTCCATGCCTCAGTTTCCCTCCAGCGGCAGTGTGAGAGCTGGCTGCCTGTGAGATCCCAGGGCTGGAAGGGGATAGTAGGGAACAGTGGGTGCAAAATGGGTGTTACAGGCAACCACTGGTCTAGGGAAGCCCCTGGATCACCTCTGCAGCCCCAAGTACCAGGCATGGCACTGGACCCACCAACACCTCCTGACAACGTGCCATAGGTAAAAGCAGTGGGGAGCAAGCCCTGCTGCTGTTTCATCCCCTGAGGACAGGACAGGAGAGTGCACCAGGGTCCCACGCCGTGCCCTCCACCCCAGAGACAGCTGCATTCTGCATGGCCCGTGGAGCCAGGCCCCCCTCCTGCACCCCAGCCCCTTTGCTCTTCCAGCCGCGGTGCTTCCCCTGCCCTAATGCCGACCTTGCGTCTCCTCTCGGCCTCTCCACAGCCTACAAGGAGAAGATGAAGGAGCTGCCCCTCGTCTCGCTGTTCTGCTCCTGCTTCCTGTCAGACCCCTTGAACAAGCCAGCGTATAAATACGAAGGTGAGCTCCTGGCCCGCAGCCCCTGCACCATCCAGCACTGCGGGGACACGGGGGAGCCCAGTCCAGCTGACCTGCTCAAGAGCCTGCCCGAGGCTCTGCTGTCCTGAGCTCTCACCTGTCCCGGGTCATGGAGGTGGGGATTAGAAGAGGCTCCAGGGATCGCTGTCAGGACCCAGTGCTGGCATCAGTGAGAGAGTCGGGATCGCGGCACGAGAAGGGTTAAATTCCCCAGCCTCAGAGCAGGGCTGGCTGGGAGCTCCCTGGACTAATAAGGAGGACACAGACTGGACATCAGCTAGAGCAGGCGCACGTGGAAAGCAACCTTTGCTCCCAAATGCATGCACACGTCCGGTCTAATGCTTCCGGTACCACAAGCCCCGACCCCTTCCCCTAAAGCAGAGTCTCCACTACCAGGCAGCAATAGTAGGCTATTGCCCTTTCTGCACACCAGCTCCTTCAGCCAGCGATCACCCCCTTTGCCAGGAGCATATCCATGTGTTTGGTCCTAGCTGCTATCGTTACCTTAGCAGTTGCCTCAAGCCCTTTCCTTTTCCTGGCCGTTAATTAACCCGCATCACTATGGAGACGAGTAGCTTAGCACAGGTTTGAGAAAAAAAACCACCCACTGGTCATTTCCCAGGACTAGGAACAGCCTCTGGCAGAGACGAGGATGATTCAGGTCGTCCATCCTCCTGCTTCAGGTTGCAGATGACACCAGGAGGGGCCGGGAAGGAACTGCCCTTCCCCTCACCCCTGCACTATCAGACGGGTCCAGTCCATGATGCTCCCTGGATGGGATTTGGATAATAAAACGGGGCAGGAACCTGATCTTGCCCAGCTCTGGGCACTGTGCTGGCATCCGACTCCAGCCAGTGATTAATACCGTATATTCTCACATACAACACCCCCCAAATAAGGCTCACGTCTTGATTTTGGGAAAGGAGAACGAAGGAAAAAAAGAGGTTCTTCCAGAGTCATGGCCACATGCAGAAAAGAGCTGCAGGACTGTGACAGTGGGAGAAGAGAGGACAGGACTAACTAAAATGCAAAGTCTTCAGCAAAACTGTGGAAAGCCTGGCTGGATTGGTGGAACATCAAGGCCATGAAAGGGGAGAGTGGGTCATTAACACCTACAGAGTGAAGAGCAATTAGCAGGAACCAGGTAGATTCTCACCCGCTACAAAGTCAATCGACTCCCTGAACAGAAGTGCTGCTGTTGCTCTTCTGAGCAGAAAGAAAATCTGCCTCCCCGCTTAAGGCATGCACCCCAATTTTGGAAGGCTAATGTTTGGGGGGAGGAAGCGTGTGTGGTATGCAGGCAAATACAGTAAGAGCCTGGGTGCTGCCTCCCTGCTGGCAGGGGAGGAAGCGATGCACAGCACAGACCGTGGGAGTTCCCAGGCCATTGGTGGAGCTATATTTTTAGGAAGACACAATTAGCTGAATGATACAGGGTGACTCACGACAGCTGAGCCAGCCGAGCCGCGCAGCCCCCGGGTGCGCCCGGCCCCCTGCCGCCAGCTGCGGTGGCACTGAACGCTGCCATTCATTCACTGGCATTCAGCCTTAGGTTGATTTGAGGGTACCCTGAGCCTAAAGGGAGGTTTTGGGGGGCCATGAATATATCAGAGCGTGTAAGAGAGAGCAAGAGGGGTATGAGTATGGAGGTGTGCGAGAAGGAGAGGGGTAAGGGCATGGAGACTGGCTGTGCACAGGCCTTGGGAAACAACATGAGCATGAGTGCACCCACATGGGCAAACTGAGTGTGTAAGTAGGTGTGAATGCATGTCATGAGCTGAAGGCATGTGAGTGTGCACAGAGCTGGCCTTAGGGAAAATGGTGACCCGGGTGAGCTTGTATTTTAGTGCCCCCCTGCAAGGCAGAGGCATTGCTGCACGCCGAGGCGGGAGGGGTGCAGAGCTGCATGGTGCACCAGGTGAGCAGACTGGATCAGGTGCCACCCTGCCCACACGTGCCCGTCCCGGCTCCTGAGCACAGCTAGAGGTCAAGGGTGGGCTGGGCATCGCTCCTCCTGCCTGGGGCAGGGATCAACCAGACTGGGGTGGGAGGAGAGCACTGCTGTGCATGTGGGCTGCTTACACGTGTGTGTGCGTGTGTGCACACATGGGTATAAGTGGATGCTGTGGGGGGCTGAGAGTGCCTCAGCAGATAGATGAGACTTGAGGTGGGGCTGAGCATGCCAGTAGCATGCATGTGTGTGCACACATATCCCTGAGCGTGCAAGCACATGTGAATGGATGTTGGGGGCTGAGAGCATGGATGCACATGTGAATCAATGCTAGGAATGACTGGGCAAAGCAATGTGGAGATACCATGTAGAGGATGGGAGCAAATGCGTGTGTGTGCATGTGTGTGTGTGCGTGCACACGCATGGGAGTATGAGGGTGAGGGGATGCTAAGGTGGGAGGGCAAATGAGTGTGTGCAAGTGGACTTCAGTGTGAGCAGAAGCAGGGTTGTGGTTGTGAGTGGGTGTGAGTACAATCACCAGGCTGTGGGTGGATGTGCAGAAGCTGGAGGCTGTGGTGGTGAGTGGGTGTGAGTACAATCACCAGGCTGTGGGTGGGTTTGAGAAGAAGCTGGGAGCTGTGTGGGTGTGACTGGGTGTGCACGCGGGAGCGTGCGAGTGGTAATCCCCTTCTCCCTCCAGCAGACACCGTCGACCTCACCTGGTGCGTCATCTCGGACATGGAGGTCATTGAGCTGAACAAGCGCACCTCGGGCCAGTCCTTCGAGGTCATCCTCAAGCCCCCGTCCTTCGACGGGATCCCTGAGTTCAACGCCTCCCTGCCCCGGCGGCGCGACCCCTCCCTGGAGGAGATCCAGAAGAAGCTGGAGGCCGCGGAGGAGCGGCGAAAGGTAGGATACGCCGCGTCCCTTACTCCGTTGGCCAAGGGAGATGGGGAAGACCGAGGGAAACACTATGTGTAGGGGCTGCAGCGGGTCCTGTCCAGGGCACAAGTGCAAAGGATTTGGGGATGCCTCTGAAGCATCCCGCATGAGAGGGAGTGAACAGGGTCTTCCTCTATGTCTGGTCCTGCGAATGGTACCGAAGTGCAGCACAGCCAAGGGTGGGCACCGTCCACTGCCCTTAGAGCTGCTCCAAGGCTGCTAATCCAGTCCCCAAGGGTTGCCTGAAGAAGGCATGGGGTGGGATAGCAAGCACCCACTTGAAGGCATTTTCCCATCAGCGCTATTCCCAAAATCAGTGCCTTCATTTGGCAGCAGGTTGCTCAGGGCTATCCTTCTCATCTCCCTGAGAGAGAGTCACTTTGCCAGATCTCTTCCAGATCTCCTGCTTGCTGGGGAGCAATGGGGCATGGGGCATCTCTGCCTTCAATACCCCAGGGCTTAACCCACCTTCCGGTCCCCCCAGACCATGGGCACAAGAGAAGGGGAATTTGGAGGGTTTCTCCTAGGTCACAGCCTAAACCGAGATGCGGCTTCAACACAGAGGCCAGAGCTGGTTCCCCCCGGAGAGGCTGGGGAAGAAGCACGCATGATATTTGCTCTGGGCTCCAGATCTAAGTTTGGGACAATCTGCTCCAACAGAGTCAGGGCTTAGCTAGCTCTCTCAGATGTCCTGAAAGGAGGGAACTGTCTTGCATGGGCTAGCTCAGACGAGCAAGCAAAGCTTGTCTGGTCCTCACCACTGGGCTCTGAGCAGAGCCATCGTCCCCAGATCGTATTCTTACAAACCCTTTGGGTCTGGAGGTCCTTGCAAGAGGCGATGAAGGCCTCTGGCTGCAAATATGGCTGGGCTTAGCATGGACTGGCATAGCAGCCACTGCCTTGGCCATGGCCAAGGTCAACCGAGCGGGTTAGGCTCTACGCCTTGACGTAAAGCCGTGCGTGTGAGGGGGCAGCTGTGCATCGGAGGAATGGGCGCACAGCTAGTGACACGGGCAGGGCATGTCCGTCTCCACCAACTTGCCCCGTTTGCTTTGCCGATGCAGTACCAGGAAGCAGAGCTCTTGAAGCACCTGGCGGAGAAGCGGGAGCACGAGCGGGAGGTCATCCAGAAGGCCATCGAGGAGAACAACAACTTCATCAAGATGGCCAAGGAGAAGCTGGCGCAGAAGATGGAGTCCAACAAAGAGAACCGGGAGGCGCACTTAGCAGCCATGCTGGAGCGCCTGCAGGAGAAGGTGAGCTTGGAGAGTTCAAGGGACGTGTCCCAGACAGAGCGAAACCCCGGGATCCACCCCAAACCCAGCCCCCTGTCAGGCCTGTCCCCCCTCCGAGCCAGCGTGGATCTCTGCTAGCCTATTTTTAATGTCAAGGGAGCCAGCTGCAGCTTCTGGCTTTGTTTTGGGGGCTGCGTTGCATGACAAACGGGGCCGCCCGGGGCCTGTGCGTAATGGTTAGGTGTCAGATAATCTCACGGATAATCACAGGCTGGGCTGGAGCGTGGGGAAGGGGAGCCTGACTCCCTTTGTTATAATGGCACAGATTGGGGGGTCTCTGCTGGCAGCTGCCTTTGCACCGTGCTTGCTGCTTCCCTCTGCCTGCTAATCACCCCCGTCTGGTGTGAGCTAATTACCCCCTTCGCCCCGAAGGAGAAATGATATCGACTCTGTGCTCTCCCTCCCTTCCTTACCCCCACCTCATGCCTGGGTGGGAGACTCCAGGTCCTCGAATCCCACCGGCAGGGTGGCTGTCTCTGCAAACCGCCTTGCAAGCGGCTCCACGGGACACGTGGGCACGTGTCCCACCTCCGTGGCTTGTCCCGGATCAGTGCCATAGCACAGCTAGGGATGCACGCCAAGCCCACGGAGGCTACCCAGGAGGGGCCCTGCACCACCCCTCTCCCATGGGGCTGGGTCTACACCCTCCCACCATTTATAGGCTTCTTATATCTCCCCGTGCCCCCCACGCACCCACTAATTACCCTTCTCCCAACACCTTCCCCAGCCTCAGCCTCATATCGGCGACAAAGAGCCGGAGAGCGTGAAGATCTGCCTTCGCCCTGCTCCCCTGGCAGCTTCCAGTCCATGCCTCCATGCCAGCCCCCAAAACACCAGCCTGAAGAAGGGTGCTTGTACCCAAAAACTTGCAAAGAAGAATTTGTGCCAACTATTTGAGTTGATATCAGATTGACCTTGTCGGCCCGAAAAGGACAGCCACGCTTAATAGCAGCCCCGAGGCGATCCCTCGGGCTTCCTTTCCGAGTCGACCCGGCTCTGCAAAGCCCGTCCGTGGGCGAGAGCTGAAGCCCGCCGCCCTAACCTCTTTCCCCCCCACACTTTTAGGACAAACACGCGGAAGAGGTGCGGAAAAACAAGGAGCTCAAGGAAGAGGCCTCAAGGTAAAGAGGCCGGGACGGCGGTGCTTGGGACTGACAGCTCCGGGGAAGCGATGGCTGCCTCCGCGCGAGGCTGAGTGACGAAGGGAAAATGTTCCTCTGCTTTCTTTGTTTGTGAATGTAAAGAATTGACCAGTGAAGCCATCCTATTTGTTTCGGGGGCGGGCGGGAGCGGGGAAGCGAGGCGAGGGAGGGGTGCATTTATCGGGAGACACGCCGGCTTAGGGGCGTCCATCTGAAATCCGCTCCGGGGTCTCATTTTTTCCTTCCACCCCATCAGCGTCCGGCCAAGCGTCCAAGGGAACCGCGGCACGAGGGAGCGGACGGTCGGGGGAGGCGACAAGACGGGGGCGGGATGGGGACGGGGGTGGCGCGTCGTGCGCGTGGCGTGGATTTGGTGAGCAGGACCGAGCAGAGCGGGCACCGCGCGCGCTCTCTGTAATCGTGGGCAGGGAAGCCGTCTCTCGGGGTGTGTGTAGCCTTTTCTTCTCCTCTGTGTTTGCCATGAACGTTGCTCATCAATATAAACGAAACATCTTCTCTTGGTGTCGCTTTCTTATTCTTCCTCCCGCCGCTGGACGCCGGGCCTGGTCCTGTTTGCCTTCGGGCGTCCCAGAGCCTCTTGCAGGATTTTGGAGAAACGGTTCAGCCCGGCGGGGTAGCTCTCCCACCTTTGTCTCCCAGGGAAGAAAACACTAAACTATCGCTTGCTTTATCCGGCTGGAGGAGATGCGGGAGGTGGGGCCGTTCCTCCAAATGGGTGAAGAAAATCCCTGAGACCTCCCCAGCCATGAGTGGGGTTTTTCCCCCCTATGCTGAGAGATAATCTTCTGAGGAACGGTAACCAGAGTGCTTTTTTTCTGTCCCCATAGGCATGGAGCAGCAGGAAAGTCTTCTGCATTTAGGGCGAGGGAAGCAGGAGGCTGTGATGGTGATGGGAAGGTAGGCTCACCTGTGCGGGGACCTGGAGAGAGACAGGCAATGGGGACGGTAGGGACGGAGGAGGAAGAAAGGAGCGGAGAGTTTGGGGGGAAACCCAGATGCCAGAGAGACAGCCACTTTAAATCCAGGATGCAGAGGTGTCGATGGGTAAGAGTCGAAGGAGCGAGAGCTGGGAGGAAGAGCCAACCCTCCCCTCTTCCCGCTGTGGCCGTGGGAAGCTCTCGAGGGTAGCACATCACAGGCTCGGGTGCCTTCGGCAGACAGCTGTCAGCCCTGGAGAGCTCAAGACAGCTCTTGGGCTCCCAACCCCATGAGAGAAAGCCCTGCAAGGCAAACCCAAGTGAGGGGTCCCATCCCTGAGAGAGCAGGGAGGCTGGCGGGGGGCATCCATCCAGCTACAACCCAGGCTGAGGGGGAGACCGGGCAGCCTGCTCCGCTCCTCACCCAACTAGACCCCAAGCACCTCTTCATTTCTGACTCTGAAACAAGGGAGGTCTCGATTTCCCCTACATCCGGATAAGGCATTGATTGAGCGAAGGGTCTCAATACAACCGGGCGTTTTCTGAGTTGAGCTCTTCATCCGGGTCCAGGCTTTTCCTCGCGGCGTGCCACGCCGGAGCCGGCGGCCGGGGGCAGAGGTGATGGGGCTGGTCTAGCGGTGGCACGAGCTGTCTGTTTTTGTATACAACCATTGTAAATAAACTGCCTCGGCATTTCTTCTCCTTTTCTCACAACCTGTGCAGTGTCTCGGGTGCGTTTTGTGCGGGGGCCCGTCCTTCGACCGGATGGGTGGGCGTGGGGAGGGAGGGACACGTGGGTTTTGGGGAGGGGAGGGTGCGTGTGTGCACGTTTGTGTGCGTGTTTGTGTGTTTTAAGGGGAAACAGAGGGGGATCAGGCACGGATGGAGGTTGTGTGGGTGTATGTGCATGTTTGTGTGTTTTAAGGGACAGTTGAGGGACTTCAGGCATGTATGGAAGTTGTGTATGTGTGCCTTAAGGGAAAGTAGAGGGACATCAGGCATGTATGGAAGTTGTGTATGGGGAGGTGTTTAAGGGACAATAGAGGGACATCAGGCATGTATGGAGGTTGTGTATAGGGGGTGTGTGTGCATGTGTGTGTCTTAAGGGAAAATAGAGGGACATAAGGCATGTATGGAGCTTGTGTATAGGCACGTGTGTGCATGTGTGGGGGATGTGTGTGTATTAGGCAAAGGCCACACTTGCTAATTAAAGTTGGATAGAAACCAGCTATGAAATGATTACACATTTTCCAGCTCTCGCTTTATAGCTGCTTGGAACTTTTTAAGGTGTGATAGTTAATGCGCACATTAAATTAATTGCACAATTAACCAGGTAATTGCATAATATATGTGACATGTAGAAGGGGCCTGAGCTGTGCAATGGGAGTGAGAAAGAACACACACAGACATGCACCCACATATTATATGGATGGGTGTGGGCGTGTGAGGTGGGAGTGAGCAGGGAGATGTAGGAGATGTATGGAGAACAGTGTGTGCCGAAGAAGGATACGTGTGGGGGTGGTGCATGTGTGCGTGCGTGTGCAGGAACATAGGGGTGTGCAAAAGACATGGGTTGTGCATGAGGATAAATGCCAGCATTTCCCTGTCGGTGCTGGGGGCAGCAGTGAGGAGCTGTGTGCGCTGCATGTACAGTGTACGTTGTCAGACATCATGGGTGTGTCTATACGTGCGCATTTACTGCACAGTAACCAAAATTACTGCACAGTACAGGCGCGTGTCTACACATGCACACCTGTACTGCACAGTAAATATGGCAATTTGCATCAACTAGAGTGTAAATTTGATACCTGCATCATGCAGGTATCAAACTTACACCCAGTTAGTTACTGCACAGCCACACACGTGTAGACACCTTACTGCGCAGTAACACTGTGTGTGTGGACTGACTTGGGACTAACTTTAGTCCACACATAGTGTTAATGCGCTTTAATGCCCGCATGTGTAGAAGCCAGCCTATTCCTGCTTACTGCGCAGTAAATTTAAACCACCGTAAATGCGTGTGTAGACATGTCCCGTGTGACTAAATGTCTGAACTGCCCCGGTGGGGTAGGCAGCGGGGGGAGGGTGTTCTCCCAGCAACCCCATTAGCCTGGGACCTGTAACCAGTCTGTGACTCCCCTTTGCATCAAAGCCAAGAGCTTCAATAAAATCCTCGTCTTTCTGCAGCCCGCTGAGGTCTGCTACCTCCGTGGGGCCGGGGGCTTCACCCAGAGGCCTCCTGCTGTGCATTCAAGCCAGCGAGAAACCTCAGCAAACCCCCCAGCCCTGCACCCCCTCCAGATCCTGGTTTCCTAACCGGTCATTATTATTGGTTATCAGAAAGTCCCAATTTTGACTGAATTACCTGACTTGGTACCAGGAGGTCATCAATCCCTACCAAGCTGGAACGCATCCGGACATGGATTAACAACGGGGAAAACACAGGGCGTTTGCAGAGCCGTCCCGGGAAGATCAAGCAAACCACGGAGACAAAACCAGAGGAGACACCGATCAACCCCACAGGGAGAATGTCTCTTCCTGCACATAAATACGAGTTAATTAAAAAGAAAATTTACAATAGCCATTAATCAAGGACAGACATTTCACGCAGTCACACAGGAGCCTACTTCAAATCAGCATAGATATAGTAAGATAAACTGGAAGTGAGGCCACATTATTTCTTTACAGAAGGTGCCAGCTGCAAACATACCTCTTCTGGCACTATGCAGGTGTCTTAAAGATTTTGTAGTTTAACTTTTGCAAGAAAGCCCAGCTCAGTTTAAGCTTCACCATCATCAACATGCAACTTCCTCGACAAGGCTTCACCATAACACACCAGCTTGACCAGGGATTTCCCCACCACCACCTCACATGCACACCAGTCTCAGGGCCAGGGCACGACCGCCTGCGGTTGCTGGACAAGCTGGTTGCTTTGGAGAAGGCCCTGAAAGGCTGGAAGCCCGGGGAGGAGCAGCCTTCTCACGGTGCTGCCTCAGAGCTGGGGGACAGTCAGCTGCGTGGAAATACATAGGTCCTGATCCCATTGAAAGCGAGGGGTGCGAGGTACCG